ACACCCTGTGCTGCTCCCCTGCCCTCCCAGAGCATCTCTGTTGCACAAACAAGAAGGGGAGAAGAAGGCAGCAGGGAGGAAAAAGATGAAATGTTTTGAAAGGAAACCAAATGGGAGCTAAAAATACTTCCCACTTCATCCTATCCTGCCACAACCACCACTTTTATATTAAAGTATGAAAAGGTGAAGCACTGAAAGTACAGCATTTATATGTGGCGCTATTTGCCTTCGAAGTACTGGGTGTCACCTGCTTGTGTGCACCCCTTCACAGCACCCCAATGCACTGTTGGAGCAGCTTGTCACCGTCCCCACTGACTCCTGTTCATTTTGGCTTCAAGCTCTTCTTGCAGAAACACTGGGTGTGAAAAAAAAGGAGCAGCTGTTACACCAAGGCCATGTGGATAAAGGTAAATTATTTGGAGAATAGTCAAGCTGCACATATTTCAGGAAAAAAAAAGGCACACGACACAACCTTTAACAGCAGTTTAACCCCACAGCAGCCTCAGTAACATTATTCAGCAGGGAATGGGGCTGCATGAGTCATGCTGTTAAGATTCTGCCTTGCAAGACACCCCCGGTTTATCTGCCTTGGTTTGACGCCTGGCTCCACCTCAGTCCTACAAACTTTGGTGAAGTCACTTCATTTCCTGGTGTTACAGATCTTTTACCAAGAAATTTGTATCACTCCTTTTATACGAGGCCACAAGAAGATGAGAAGTGTGCTCCAAAATTTGAAGCTGTAGGAGATAAAATATGAAGGGCTGGCTGGTGGAGGGGCTGGGACTCTGCGCACACCAAGCACGCTGCGCATTGAGTGCCAGGAGGTGAGATTTCCTATTGTGTAATCTCCTGATATGACATAGCACTAGGAAAAGGAACTGGATGCTTGTTTGAGCAGTCCTGTCTGTCTGGAATGGGAAACTTTCAGTTTCTTCTGGAGCCGAGAGGTGAACCTTGAGTGAGAATATATACAGCCTTGCTGAGCAAGGAGTGCCAGGCAGACGCCACAACAGTCTTTCTCCACCTTCTCAGCTTGAGGCAAGCAGCCTGCTGTAGGGATTTCATCACTTTGTATGCATACTCCCTGCAGGAATGAATGAGATTGTCACATGCTAGGCAGCAGTGTGTCAAAGCCCAGACTGGGTGATGGAGAGATGTCCTAGCCCTGACACAGCACTTGTGATGGCGGGCAGAGGCAAAGGCACGCAGATCATTGTCTGTTTCATCTCATTGCAGTGCACTGGCTCGTTCTTTCTATGCAAAAGCCCTTTTCAATGGAAAGTTTAAATCAACTTTCACTTTAACAGTATTCTCCATAATCTTTCATGTTGGGCTTGGGTTTTCTGTCTGACGTGTATTTATTTTATGTGACTGCAGTTGGTCTGGTTGTGTGGCTCATTTCAACACCTGTAAGGAAACCACGGCCTCTTTTGCTAAACTGTTCGCCTCTTTGATAGGCATCGGAGAAGGTTCTTCATATTGAAGTTTAGGCTCTGGCTCTGCTCTGTCTGTAAATCCCTGTGTGATGGGAGCCTTTGGGGTTTGATGTCCTGCATACACTCACTTGTCTTTTAGGAATTAAACTGATGTTTAGGGCTCAGGTCATATGTTTTGCTCAGGCCTCTACTTCACAGAAACCTGGAAAAGCAATTTCTTCCCATATTTCCCATGTTGGCATTTGACAGCTTTGACCAACAGTAGCAATAAGGGAAGCAAAATCTCCTTGGGAGCATGTGCATGAAACCTCTCAGACAAGTTAGGGCACTGAAGTCAGCGTGTGATCTTCATGTGTAGTTAGTTAAGAGATTCTTTACATCCCATGGGAGACCCTTAAGTGTAAAGAACCTTCAGATCGATACGATTTCATCCTTGACTAAGTTCAGTGCTTCCATGGGACTTGAAATACTGTTACATTTAACCGAATTTATGTTAACTTTCTTGTGTCCTCATGTAATGAGATCTAGATATTTCTTCTTTTCCTATCAGCCTCACAAACAAATTACAAAGTTCATTTACTGTATGGCAAAAAAATGAAGAAAAGGAGTGTGTCTCATGTAGCTGTTTAACAACCTGGTATCAGGCAGGCCAAGAGAAAACATGACGTATCTTTTCTTCCACTCAGACTCTAGGCAGATTTATTAAATTCAGAGGGAAGGCTTGTGGTGGAACACAGGGTCCCAGTCCCCACTGCAGTGAGAGTGTGGTTGGGTGGATGCTCACTCTAGAAGCAAAGGACTGTGGGGGATGTGTTACAGCTCTTTTGGAAACTACACTTCCTCGTGGCACAGAAAGTTGATCAGTTTGGTTTGGAAGATAGTTTCTAGGTCTGCTGCAGCTAACGCAGAGACAGTGGGAAGGTCTGCATTCAGTTCCTGTCTCTGCTGCAGGCCAACCCTCCCAGACATGCTTCCCCATTTCTGCGGCAAGGTGAAGCCTTTCTTTCCATGCCTCTTTATTTTCTTTGCTTGCAATCTCAGCGCTAGCACAGGAGGCATCTGACTCCAGCCTGAACTCTGCCAGGATCTTGCATGGCACCTCCAGCCACTTCCCTGCAAAAGGCAAAACGTACTGTGTCTTAGGCTCGCTTGCCAGTTCGGTTTGCCTCGTCTCCCTGCAGTTGGTTTTGTGCCGTTTCCCACACATAGTTTGCAAACACGAGTGCAGACCACAACAGTTCCGGTTCCTCCTTGCCTGCATCACTTCTTTGCGTGGCAGTTGAAACGTAAGGCTGCTGTAGCTATTGTGGAAAAGCTGTTTCAGCTCTACAATACCAGCGTTTGTGTTGAACTTGGTGGCAGATACCAACCTGCTTCCTGCGTAATTGTGGTGTTCAGATGACTCACAGACAGAGGTAGTGCAGTCCGGATAAAATGGCTTCGATAATTCACCTCTTTTTTGTTAATGGCCCTTTTGTTGATGGCTCCTGTCCCTGGAGAATAGTCTGCAGAATGGCTGCTCCCAATGCTGGACGAGGCGAGGTGAAGATGGTGAATGTGGCGAGGTGAAGATGGAGTCATGATGGAGTCAAGATGGAGTCATGTTGGCACAGGTTTCTCCGTCTTTTGCGCACCTCAGTATTTCCACTCCTGAAGACTCAGCTCCCACGTCTCTGAGAAAAAAGTGCACAGGGCATGATGGGCTCTGCCTTTCTCCTGGTCTGACTCCTGCTCTCTGCTCTCAGGCTGTGCCTATGGCTGTGGCAAGAGGTCCTCCTGGAGAGGGGTGAAGCTCAGGCAGGGGGAAGTGGCAGCTCTTTGCATAGCAGCAGGGACAGAGAGCTTGTCCAGGCAGTGAGATGCAGCTGCAGGGTGATAAACCTGTGGTTTTTGCATCCTCAGGGAACATAGCATCAGTCTTCCTCCCCAGCCACCCACACTGTTAATCTGATTTCAAAATAACACAGCACATGCTGTGCTGCTTTTGGAAAGTGCAGCTGTAGGTATAGGACTGGCAGAGTGTGCTGTGCTCCAGCTTGCTGCAGCCTAAAAATGCAGAAGACATGCAAGACATACCGGGAGGGAGGACAGCAGAGACCAGGGAAGAATCATAGAATCATAGAATGGTTTGGGTTGGAAGGGACCTTAAAGCCCATCTAGTCCCACCCCCACTGCCACGGGCAGGGACACCTTCCACTAGCCCAGGTTGCTCCAAGCCTCATCCAGCCTGGCCTTGGACACTTCCAGGGATGGGGCATCCACAGCTTCTCTGGGCAACCTGTCCCAGTGCCTCACCACTCTCTCCAGGAAGAACTTCTTCCTGATATCTAATCTAAACCTCTCCACTTTCAATTTAAACCCGTTACCCCTTGTCCTGTCACTACAGGCCCTTGTAAAAAGTCCCCTCCGAGCTCCCTTGTAGCACGCCCTTCAAATAAGGAAGAAAGTGATGAAGAAGTTGGGGTGCATGGAGTCAGAAATATGCCATGTTACTATACAGTGCTGCAACTGTCAGTAAGGTGATGAAGTAGCAATAAAAGTAATCAGAGAAGTCCTTTTCCCCAGGAGGTGTTATTTGCTCTGTTGACACTGACTGGTACTCTGCTGTGGCCTTGAACTTCTTCTCGGATCCACCACAACTTTAGTCCCCTTGGCATGTGCTGTCTGTAGTGTACACACTGGCAAGGTGGGATTGTCCCCAGAAGGGGTGTGGTTGGGTGTCTGGCCTTGTGGCTACTCGTTTCCTGGTTTTACTTGCATGGAAATGCCCTCGACCTGTTGTCTGAGGTGTTCCATGCTGAGGTCTCCAGGCTTATGGCTGGAGGTCTTACGCAGCCCTGACTGCCCAGTGCCCACATGCATCAGGAGCTCTTCCTACCCTAGGGGTTAGAAATTGATTTTTCACTGCAGATCATCACTGTTTGGATATGGAAGTTCAGTGTTAGAACTGAGACCACAGCTCTAGACCTCACTCCATCTCACAGCTTGCTAAACTCAGAATGGGATGAACCAGTCTAGGGTTTGATAGTCCAACCTGGAAACTTGCTGGGGAAGGGGGAAACTGTTTGTTTCAATCTGAAAAAAGCACATTTAGAGATTTTTCTCAAATCAATACAGGAAGAAAAACTATATTTTTGTCTATGAACTATTATAGGTAGACTTATAGATAGTTGTTTATTCCTTTTGTGTTTCTTTTTACACTTTATAATACTGTTGTTACATTTAGCTCAATTCTGAAGCAAAATGCAATTTCAAAATGTAAAGCCAGGACTTTCTGGATAAAAAATGTTGAAAGAAAACTCATTAACTTGGTAATTCCTCCATCATCCTTCAGAAGCTTGCAGAAATAGGCAGTTAAACCCAAACCATTAATAAACTGATAACTTTTGCCTCAATGTTTCCTTGTAAAGGATTTTAAACCCTTTGTGACTGTCTCACTCGGAGACTCATCCTGCATTTAGAACTGTGGCCATTGCATGCTCCCTATCAACAAATAAATAAATTTGTTGATAGGAAATTGGACTATGGCCCACTGAGTTCTGTCTTTTGCTTTTGTTCTCCTAGGTTATGAGCGTTTTGCTGCTGATTGAGTACTCCCTGGAGGTGGCGAGCGGGAACAGCTTTTGCAAAGACCTGGACAAGGGTTACTACAGGATTGGTAGGTCACCAGGATGCTGGAAAGCAGCAGGGGTCTGTGGGGTTGAGAGGGAGCTCAACGTCCTGCCTTGGTCCTTCTTTCTTTTTCATTGAAGAAAATTGGAAACTAGTATTCAGAGCAGATGGGATGAAAGCTCAGACCTAGAAATTAAATTTAGGCTCTAAAGATTTGGATTTTCATTTAGGCTGTGTTGGCTTTTTGGAGATCAATGTGGAGCCCAGTGAGTTGTCATTATTTCAGTGTATCAGGCCCTCAGCCCAAACTCTCCAGCCTCCCCACTCCCTCTGCAATACACTTTGCATTAACCTGACAATCATGGTTTCTCCTTCTCTTCCTTTTCACCAACTGTAGATCATTTAAGCCTGACACACACTGCTGACTCCCTTCACATGTTGGGCATTTTCCAGGAAAACACTGAAGTGTCTGACTAACTCCTCAATGGACCTGGTCTGGCCAGTGATCTCGGGGTCCCAGAGTGGGGAGAAATCACAGCCCCACACATGTGTGCCTGGGCTACTTGACATTATCATGATACCCTGCTCTCCATGCCATGGAACCACACTCTTATCATCCATCATGCTGTGCAGGGGTCTCCTACGTCACAGTTGAAGCCACTTCAGAGTGCCACACCAGCCCACCTCCCTTTCCCCCACTCTCGCTTTGGCCCCCTCTCAACCTCTGGGGTTTTTTTTTGCAGAACATTTGTTGTCTGGGAGAAGCAGCCAGACTGTTTTGAATCCCACAAACAGTCACAATCACCGTATTCACCACAGTTGGTGGAATTCCTATGGTTTGAACTGGGAAAGATCTAGGTTGGCTTTCAGAAGCCTGGCAGGTCTCTCATGTGTGGTGCCATTTAAAAGAAAGCACTCCCCAAACCTCAAATATTACTTATCCAGCCTAATTTTGCAAGAAACTGTTTGGAAGCCACAAACACAGGGTGCTTTTTCCTTTTCTTAGTCACTTTTCAATGTAAAACCACAAGTTCAGATAACCCTTCTCTGCTGTGTGCCGAAGGACAGAAATCAGACTCCTACACCCCGCATTGTCTCTCCCTGCAGAGAAGGCTCATACTCAGAGAAAAATGCAACCCACAGCAGCAAGGACTTGCCTGTTCCCTTATTTTCCAGTGTGTCCTTCCCAAAGCTGCAAGCATGCACAGAGAGGCCCCCTGCAAGTGGAGGAAAAAGAAATCCAGTACAGCAGATTCCAGCACATCCCAGACTCACTTGTTCCCAGTGTAGGAGTCAGACTTCGTGGAAAGCACCAAAACAGGCATAGTCACTGTCTGGGTGAAATTACTGCTAACAGATGGGTTCACATTTTTCAAAAGAGCCCAGCTGGGTTTTAGGAGGCACCATTGTGATCCACCAAGGCTGTTTTGAAAGGTGTCAACAGTGAGTGGAAAAATGGAAATTTGGGTGAGTCCTGCTAATAGGACACCACGCAAGGGTCTGCTGTCATGGCTCACATAATAGAATAATAGAATAATAGAACGGTTTGGGTTGGAAGGGACCTTAAAGATTATCTAGTTCCAACCCCCCTGCCATGGGCAGGGACCCCTTCCACTAGCCCAGGTTGCTCCAAGCCTCATCCAGCCTGGCCTTGAACACTTCCAGGGATGGGCCATCCACAGCTTCTCTGGGCAACCTGTCCCAGTGCCTCACCACCCTGTCTGGGAAGAATTTCCTGATATCTAATCTAAACCTCCCCACTTTCAATTTAAACCTGTTACTCCTTGTCCTGTCACTACAGACCCGTGTAAAAAGTCCCTCCCAGCTTCCCTGAAGGCCCAGTTCAGGTACATCTTTCACACAGGGCATTATTTCCAAAGTAGTCCACTCTGGCTGGGTTTTTCATCATTTTTGCAGAATATCACCCAAGGCCAAAAATTTTTACATTTCTTCAAGTAGCTAAGTAAAATATTCTTCAGAGAAAAAGAAACAAATCATTCAGACAGATTTTTCAGTTAATTTCCATACAAAACCATTATATGCTTTCTAAGCAAGCCATGCATTTCTGCAAATCTGGAGGGTTTTCTTTAAGAATAGAACCGTTCCAAATAAAATTGGCCCTGTTTTTATCAAACCCTCCTCTTCCCACACAATCAGAATGACAGGTCTTCCCCTCCCCCTCTTCCACTGCCGCCTACACAAAAAGGAGCATTTTATAATGAAATCCCCAGCACTTCCACTTGGCTTCTCTTTCCAAGCATTTCAAAGGTCTGTGCTTGGGAGATTGTGAGTGTTTTCTGATTATAGTTGGAAAAAATGTAGTGCAACCCTTCTATTTCCAGAAACTAGCAGGGAAGCATTACAGCAAAGCAGTACAAAAAGTTCAATTTGACTTCAAAACCCAGATGGAAGAGTTGGAGAACAATTTGGGGAGAGATTCTGTCAATGCCCTCAGCATCTGCTGCTCTATTTGTAGATCCTGCCAGATTAAAACTTGTCTCGGAATATATAATGTTAACGTTGTAGTCATGGCCCAAGAATATAAACAAGACAAGGTTTATGGGAAAATGTTTTTCACATGATACAGTAGGAAAAAAATTATATAGGAGTTCTTTATATGGAATCAGAACTCTCTCAAGATTTCTCAGCAGTATGTTTTGCTGCCTTAAAAAAGGGGACTGGGATGGGCCTCAACTTGTACAATCACAGAATGGTTTGGGTTGGAAGGGACCTTTAACACCCCCTAATTCCAACCCCCCTGCCACGGGCAGGGACACCTTCCACTAGACCAGCTTGCTCCAAGCCTCATCCATCCTGGCCTTGGACACTTCCAGGGATGGGGCATCCACAGCTTCTCTTGGCAACCAGTCCTAGTGCCTCCTCACCCTCTCCGAGAAGAATTTCTTCCTGATGTCCCATCTCAATCTCCCTCTTTCAATTTAAACCCATTACCCCTTGTTCTGTCATTCCCCCCAGCTTTCTTGTAGCCCACCCAGACACTGGAAGGTGCTATAAGGTCTCCCTGGAGCCTTCTCCTCTCCAGGCTGAACAAGCCCATCTCTCTCAGCCTGTCCCCATGGCAGAGCTAATCCAGTCCTCAGAGCATCTTTGTGGACTCTTCTGGATTCACTCCAACAAGTCCATGTCCTTCTGATGTTGGAGGCCCCAGAGCTGGATGCAGAATTCCAGGTGGGTCTCACCAGAGCAGAGTAGAAGGGGAGAATCCCCTCCCTCACCCTGCTGGCCACACTTCTCTGGATACAGCCCAGGATACAGTTGGCTTTCTGGGTTGCCAGCGCACATTTCCAGCTCATGTACAGCTTTTCATCCACCCGTACCCTCAAGACCTTCTCCTCAAGCTTGTTTTTCTACAGGTATAGTCAGAGAGGGGAAGGAGAATTGGGATTGTAAGTTTTTGTGATTGACAGGATAATGGGAAGGGTGACTTAGTCTGCTGTCCTTAGAAGAGGGATGCTCTGTCCCTTGCAGTCTGCTACTCCTTGTTTTATTGGCTTACAAGACACCACAGACAGCACAGGACTGCAAGTGCTCCTCTGAAATTTGTTTTTCAATGAAAATTGACCAACATATAAGACCTGATGAAAATATTGGATTAAAATGGGAAGAAGACCCAGGTTCTTCTTTGTTTCTGGAAGCCTTGAAGATGATTTCCCACCTTTAGTGGGATCAATGACAGGATATGGGCTAATCCAAAGGAGGTCTAACTTTAGTACCTAACTAATATTCAAGAAATAACACAAGAGGCAGGCAGAGGGAACAGAAGACAAACTTCTGCCTGGTGATTTGGGGCATTCAGTTCCAATTTGGAAGAATTGGAATTAAACCTGGCAAATGATGTCAAGGACAATGAGAAGGGTTTCTTCAAGTACATCAGTAGAAAAAGGAAGACTAGGGAAAATGTGGTCTCACTACTGAATGAGAAGGATGCCCTGGTGATGGAGGATGCAGAGAAGGCACAGATGGTGAATGCCGCCTTTGCTTTAGTTTTTACTCCTAAGGCTACCCCTCATGAATCCCAAACCCTGGAGGTAAGAGAGAGAGCCTGGAGAAAGGAAGACACTCCCTAGGTCGAGAAGGATCAGATTAGAGATTGTTTAGGCAAACTTGACACCCACGAATCCATGGGTTCTGATGGGATACACCAATGAGTGCTGAGGGAACTGGCAGATGTTATTGCAAAGCTGTTGTCCATCATCTTTGAAAGGTCAGGGAGAAAAGGAGAGGTGCCTGAGTACTGGGCGAAAGCTCATGTCATGCCAGTCTTCAGAAAGGGCAAGAACGAAGACCCAGGAAGCTACAGGACAGTCAGCCTCACCTCCATCCCTGGAAAGGTGATGGAACAGCTCATCCTGGATGTCAACTCTAAGCACATAGAGAGTAGTCAATATGGATTCACCAAGGGGAAATCATGCTTGACCAATCTGATAGCGTTCTACAATGGCATGACTAGCTGGGTGGATGAAGGGAGAGCTGTGGATGTTCCCTACCTCGACCTCAGCAAGGCTTTTGACACCGTCTCCCATAACACCCTCATAGGTAAAGCTTACAAAGTGTGGGTCAGATGAGGGGACAGTGAGGTGGATTGGGAACTGGCTGAATGGCAGAGCTCAGAGGGTTGTGATCAGGGGTGCCTGTGACTAGCAGTGTTCTGAAGGTTTGGTAGTGGGACATTCATTAATGACCTGCATGAGGGTACAGAGTGTACCCTCAGCAAGTTGGCTGATGATACAAAACTGGGAGCAGTGATACACCGGAAGGCTGTGCTGCCATACAGTGAGACCTGGATGGGCTGGAGGGTTGGGTGGAGAGGAACTTAATGAAGTTCAACAAGGGCAAGCATAGGATCCTGCACCAGGGGCGGAATACTCTGCCCTAGTGAGGCCACAACTGGGGTGCTGTGTCCAGTTCTGGACTCCCTATGTCAAGGAAGATAGGGAACTACTGGAGATAGTCCAGCGGAGGGTACAAGGATGATCCAGGGAATGGAGCACCTCTCTTATGAGGAAAGGCTGAGGGACTTGAGTT